TATTATACATTGTATCATTATATACATCCTATTATACATTGTATCATTATATACATATCCTATTATACATTGTATCATTATATACATCCCATTATACATTGTATCATTATATACATATCCTATTATACATTGTATCATTATATACATATTCTGTTATACATTGTATCATTATATACATCCTGTTATACATTGTATCATTATATACATCCTATTATACATTGTATCATTATATACATCCTATTGTACATTGTATCATTATATACATTCTATTATACCATTGTATCATTATATACATCCTATTATACATTGTATCATATATACATCCTATTGTACATTGTATATTATTATATACATCCTATTATACATTGTATCATTATATACAATCCTATTATACATTGTATTATTATATACATCCTATATTATACATTGTATCATTATATACATTCCTATTATACATTGTATCATTATATACATCCTATTATACATTGTATCATTATATACATTCCATTATACATTGTATCATTATATACATTCCATTATACATTGTATCATTTATATACATTCTATTATACATTGTATCATTATATACATCCTATTATTCATTGTATCATTATATACATCCTATTATATATTGTATCATTATATACATTCTATTATACATTGTATCATTATACACATCCTATTATACATTGTATCATTATATACATTCTATTATACATTGTATCATTATATACATCCCATTATACATTGTATCATTATATACATCCTATTATATACATTGTATCATTATATACATTCCATTATACATTGTATCATTCTATACATCCTATTATACATTGTATCATTATATACATCTATTATACATTGTATCATATATACATCCTATTGTACATTGTATCATTATATACATCCATTATACATTGTATCATTCTATACATCCTATTATACATTGTATCATTATATACATCCTATTGTACATTGTATCATTATAATACACTCTATTATACATTGTATCATATACATCTTATTATACATTGTATCATTATTATATACATCTTATTATACATTGTATCATTATATACATCCCATTATACATTGTATCATTATATACATCTATTATACATTGTATCATTATATACATCCATTATACATTGTATCATTATATACATTCTATTATACATTGTATCATTATATACATTCTATTATACATTGTATCATTATATATACATCCTATTATACATTGTATCATATATACATCCTATTATAACATTGTATCATTATATACATTCCTATTATACATTGTATCATTATATACATCCTATTATACATTGTATCATTATATACATCCTATTATACATTGTATCATTTATATACATCTCTATTATACATTGTATCATTATATATACATTCATTTTATACATTGTATCATTATATACATTTTATTATACATTGTATCATTATATATACATTCTATTATACATTGTATCATTATATACATTCTATTTATACATTGTATCATTATATACATTCCATTATACATTGTATCATTATATACATTCTATATATACATTGTATCATTATATACATCCTATTATACATTGTATCATTTTTATACATTCCTATTATACATTGTATCATTATATACATTCTATTATACATTGTATCATTATATACATCCTATTATACATTGTATCATTATATATTAACATCCCATTATACATTGTATCATTATATACATCCTATTATACATTGTATCATTATATATACATTGTATCATATTATACAATTGTATTACATTGTATATATACATCCCTATTATACATTGTATCATTATACATACATTCTATTATACATTGTATCATTATATACATTCTATTATACATTGTATCATTATATACATCCTATTATATACATTGTATCATTATATATACATTCTATTATACATTGTATCATTATATACATTTCTATTATACATTGTATCATCTATATACAATCTTACTCCTGGAATAGATATCATTAAAAAGTTTTGTTAAAAAAAAAAAATCATGAATACAAATAAATATTTAAAAATAAGAAAAAATACCTATTATACAGGTTTGTATCTAGCTACAGTGCCAGGGTATACATGTTTGGGTCAGGGTATTTATCAAAGGGCAAGGTCAAAAGGTATCATTCAAACATTTTTTTTTACATTGTTCATTTTTTAAATTGGTGTCATGTGTTTTAGGTTAAAAAAATCCCAAATACATTGTTAAATTAAAACATCAAAACATAAATGCGCACTATTGTTTCTCTGCTGTTCTGGGCATAAAACACTGGGTACAAATCAACAACATAAAATACACCTATATGGGTGTCGCTGCGATCGTCAGGATATGGAGAATTTATTATCATTTGGGTTTGATCTTTAGTGGTATATACATGGTATAACAAGAAACACACAGCTAAATTAAAAAAAATATATATATTTTTATACATATTTTGGGGCCAGTTTTCCTATTTATAATTGTATCGTTATAAAAATCAGGAGATATCCATTACCATTCTTACCACCTGGAATAAGAAAAAATTTTCCTAAAAAAAAACGCGGTATAAAGGATGTAGTGGTGATGAACGAAACGGTTTTACTAACACATGTCAAGGTTTGATCAAAGCTCAGTGCTTAGGTAAAGTGTTTGGGTTTTGGGCATGAAGGGCAAGGTCAAAAAGGTTCAGGGTCTAATAAAGGTTTTTGGACATCCATATATATTTAAACTTCTCCACATTGTGTTTTGGGGCATAAAAAAAACCCAATGCAAAAAAAAAAAATTCCTCTTGAGTGAAAGTTTTCATGGGTGAGCTGAATACTCCGGGCCCCCACTGCTCCCTTCTTTTTAAAATAACTACCTCCCCTGCTGTGCACTCGGTGATTTTTTTGGGGATATGGGGGTAGAGTCCCCCTGGATACTTACTCCCTTTGACTGTCCTTGGGTCTCTTTGTTTGGTGTGGATATATTGCCTTTGTTTCTAGGAGGGGTCCTCTCCACCCAGTGTTCCTTGGAGGGCCTTATCCCCCATAATTTATGGTTGCCTCTTCTTGCTTGTCTAGGTGGGCCACTCCCCCCGGATCCACAGGGAAATTAAAAAAAATATATATTTTTGGGTTACTATATTTGAAGGACCAGTTTTCCTTTGGTAATCCCCTAAATCCTCCCTGCGGGGAGCCAGTCCATCTACCATTTACCACCAAATGCTCGTTCCTGTATTCTGTTCTGAAAAAAACGCTGTATAATCCACCCATGATTATTTGATACGGGGTTCCATAATACTAACATAATGTCAATGGAGAAATCTGTGCTTAAGTGTTAAGATTTGTATTGCGCCCATGGGGGTTATAATTCCCTTCTCAGAAACGCTTTTGGACATCCCCCGCCCTACCCAAGTTTTTCGTCATATACTTCATCAGGAGCATGGTAATTCCTCTTGAGGCAAAGTCCACTTGATGTGTATATATATTTACATACATATATAGAATATATTGTGGGAACTCGCCAAGTGGTAGAGAGCTTCTTCAAAGCACTTACGGCAACTCCGCTTATTTTTTAAGGGCCTTTTTTGCCCCTTTTATTTCCTCGGGTGCATTTCAATGAACATATGGGGCTCTCTTACCCCCCCTTGATGTCCTTGGTCTCTTTGTTTTAAATGGATATACTTTGCCTTTGTTGCTCTCTCCTGAGGGGACCTCTCCTATGTCTGTCTCCTTGCAGGGCCTCTCCTCCCCCAAAATTCATGGCCACTAGCATCCTTCTTCTCTGGGTGGCTTCCACCTAATCCCGGATCCCTGTAAGGGACCGTTTTATAATCCAGTCCCTGTAAGCCAGGACCCTGAGGTCCCCCCTGTACTCCGTTTGCTGGGGTGGGGGGCAGAATCATGGCATCTGTGAATTTCCAGGGGCTCGTTCACTGTATTCTTTCTGAAAAAAATCACCTGGCTGTACCCTTGATTAATTCTTGGGGCCCAGGATTGGAGGTTTCATAATGTCCCAAACTCTAAGAAATCTATTGTAAAGTAGGCTACAGGTCCCAAAACAGGCTTTAACCAACCAAAGAGGAAACTGATAAACCAGTTTTTAATCACCCTTCTCATTAGCGAGATCTGCCCGCCCCTCATGTTTCCTCATATGACGTCATCAGGAGAATCCTAGGGAAACCCCATGTGTGTGTGTTATATATATATATATACCGCAATGCCACATATATATATAATATATATACACATACAACAAATATGTATATAAACCCCCAAGCTTGAAGTATGTGAAAAATTCAAGCTGTTTGTCCCAATCCTTGCCATTTTTTCCCGTAGTCAATACTAATTGGTATAGAACTAAGGTCCCTGTTAACAGCCGCCACCATTTTGTTGTAGCTCAAGCAGCTAGGAGGATCAGGGCTGCATTGGGATCCAAAGGGAGATACTGTGCTCACAAACTGTGCTCATAGTGGGACTCTTTGTGTAGTAGGGAGTTCATGCATTTTGTTTATTAATTATTTAAAGTAGTTTTTGGGAGAGGCAGCACAACAATTTTTATGTTTGCACTCACACACATTTGTTTACACATTTGTGATTTTGCTAGCAGCAGCAGCCAGTCTAATTGATCAGTCCTCTGCGCAGGACATTGGCTGTAGAGGTGGCCAAGGTGTAGGCACAGGTTGCACCTTATCTGGGTGCAGTCCTTGGTCACATGACCCTTACCCCGACAAATTGAACATATTAAAGCCGAACAGGAGGAGCTAAAATACCCCTTTTATCTACAATGGTGACAGTTTTGGCTGACCAGGATAGAAAATAGTCATCCTGTCCCTCCCTATAAAAGCAGAGGAGGACAGGTGACGGACAACATTCCCATCCCTGGCCAACCTGACCATCACCGACCAACCCCCAGCTGCTACCCCTCTCTGCCAATCCCTCCACTGACTGCTACTTAGTGTCCTCCACCCCTCTCTGCCAATCCCTCCACTGACCTCCACTCAGTGTCCTCCATCCCTCCCTCTGTCCACTCCCTCCACTCAGTGTCCTCCACCCTCTCTCTGCCAATCCCTCCACTGACCTCCACTCAGTTGTCCTCCACCCCTCTCTGCCAATCCCTCCACTGACCTCCACTCAGTGTCCTCCGCCCCTCTCCTGCCAATCCCTCCACTTGCCTCCACTCCGTGTCCTCCACCCCTCTCTGCCAATCCCTCCACTGACCTCCACTCAGTGTCCTCCACCCCTCTCTGCCAATCCCTCCACTGGCTTCCACTCAGTGTCCTCCACCCCTCTCTGCCAATCCCTCCACTGGCCTCCCTCCACTGACCTCCACTCAGTGTCCTCCACCCCTCTCTGCCAATCCCTCCACTGGCCTCCACTCAGTGTCCTCCACCCCGTCTCTCTGCCAATCCCTCCACTGGCCTCCACTCAGTGTCCTCCACCCGTCTCTGCCAATCCCTCCACTGACCTCCACTCAGTGTCCTCCACTCGCCCAACGAATAAAATTCAGAATACTAACAACAACTTACAAAGCCATCCACAACTCTGCCCCCCGGCTACATCACCAACCTGGTCTCAAAATATCAACCAAACCGCTCTCTTCGATCCTCCCAAGACCTTCTGCTCTCTAGTTCCCGTGTCACCTCTTCCCATGCTTGCCTCCAGGACTTCTCCCGAGCTTCTCCCATCCTATGGAACTCCCTACCCCAATCTGTTTGGCTATCTCCTAATCTATCCACCTTTAGACGATCCCTGAAAACCTCTCTCTTTAAAGCAGCCTATCCTGCTTCTACCTAGTAAACTGCCATTTATTTCCTCCATCAGCTCCTCCCCCCACAGTTATTACCTTTTGTATCGCTCCACCCTTCCTCCTAGATTGTAAGCTCCAGGAGCCGGCCCTCTGGTTCCTCTTGTACCAAATTGTATTGTAACTGTAATGTCCAAAACAAAAAACATCAAAACAGCACAAATAAATACTCAAAAGAATAAAAAAAATATTAAAAAAAAAAAAAAACATACAAAAAATTTTATAATATATATAATATTAATTGGACAGTCGCACTGCAACAAAACACGGGTCAGGGGTCTTGGAATAAGGACTTTCAATTACACTCTACTCACCATATTCATCTCAAAAATAATTTTTTTGGAGTGGGACTATCCAATTAATATTATATATATTATAAGTTTTTTTGTATGTTTTTTTTTTTTTTATTTCGTTTGAGTATTTATTTGCGCTGTTTTGATGTTTTTTGTTATTTTATTAGTGTTTACACTAAGGAGCAGCAGCATATATTCAGGAATTATTTCACAATTTTTGGTGTTGGTGATTTTTTGTATATAACTGTAATGTCCGCCTTCATTTTGTAAAGTGCTGCGCAAACTGTTGGCACTATATATATATTGTATATATATATTTATTTCCTTATATATAATTTACGCAACCTTACATATATATTGTATTTCAGTCCCTTTCAAGGGGTACAATCTATATCAAGGGGCCGTACAATCTAAGGTCCCCAACCCTCAAGGGGTGTACAATCTAAGGTCCCTATAGGAGGGGGCGTACAATGTTCATTACAATCTAAGTCCCCGCGTACAGTCCCCGAGGGGCGTACAATCTACAATCTAAAGGGGCGTCACAATCTAAGGTCCCTAACTCACATCCATACATACACATACTAGGGACAATATAGACAGGAGCCAATTCACCTACCAGCATGTCTTTGGAGTGTGGGAGGAAACCAGAGTACCCAGAGGAAACCCACGCAGGCACAGGGAGAACATGGAAACTCCAGGCAGGTGGTGCCTTGGTTGGGATTCGAACCGACGACCCGAGTACTGCCAGGGAAGTGCTAACCATTTAGCCACTAATACAGAGTGTCTATATTGCTGTTAAGCCGGGCCTTCACTGCCAGCATGCTTGTTGGCTGCATTTGTATAACTCAGTTGGTCCATCTCTGCTAGGACAGAGGAAGGGGACATGTCAGTTCTCCAGCGCACATTGCAATCTGTGTAATCTGATCTCTCTGCTATTCCAGCCATTTCCCCACAGCAGTGGTAGATCAGTCTTTCAGAAAGCTGGTGTTCTTGTTGTCTGCATTCAATACTAAATACGATCCGTTCTCATGCAGAGTTTCATAATTACAGAATAAGATACATTGTATACAAAAGATATTTTATAATCGATTTTACTACCGAACTTCATTATTTCTTGTATTTCTAACAATACATTATGTTACATTTGACATTGCAGAGTTCCTCCCTCCGCCAACACTCCGATCCCGCTCACGGGGGACAGCCAGACGGACGCCGACATCCTGGCATTTGTGAGAGCGCGGCAGAACCTCCTGCAGAGGAAAGGTAATGAAGCTCTGCAATAAAATGTCTTTGTTTAGAGCTCTATGCATAAAGATCAGCCAAAATCATTGTCTTCAGGTTTATCGTACACTTTAGTGCCATCCTAATAGCATCATGGGTCCCTGGGGCAAAGTAATGCACCGGGGCCCCTATCAGGGAGACGGCGACCTGCGTTGTGTAGCGTGCCGCGGCAAAAAGTGAGTGTGGCAAATGATGCTACATATTGGGCGGGGCTTTATAATCTGATTGGTAACAACAAATAAACACAACCAATTATCCCAAAATGAATTCAACTCCTGTACACACCCTCTCTACACATCTTCCCTCCCCCCTCCTGTATACCCTGACTTTCTTTTTCTCCAGTAATCATTTTTTAAATTATTTTTGTACATTTTTTTTAATTTATTTATTTATTTATTTATTTTATCGAGTTTATATAGCGCCAAAGGGTTTGCTCAGCATTGTACAATAGAGGGGGGGACAATACATGAAACAGTACAGTAACATCAAACAGCACACAAGGGGTAAGAGGGCCCTACTCTTTCGAGCTTACAATCTAGGAGGGAGGGGGTAGAGGTACAGGAGGAAATGGCTGTGGGGGATGGAGTGGAAGGAGGAGGGAAGGGCAGCGGCTGTTAGGTGAGGGTGGGGTAGGCTTCCCTGAAGAGGTGGGTTTTCAGGGAGCGCCTGAAGGTGAGGAGGGAAGGTGACAGTCTGATGGGTTGGGGTAGTGAGTTCCAGAGGATGGGGGAGGACCTGGAGAAGTCTTGCAGTCGTGCGTGGGAGGAGGAGACCAGGGAGCAAGATAGAAGGAGGTCCTGTGAAGAGCGAAGGGTACGGGTAGGGTGGTACTTGGGAATCAGGTCGGTGAGGTAGTTAGGGGCAGTGTTGTGAATGGCTTTATAGGTCAGAGTGAGTAGTTTGAATTTAATGCGTTGGGCAATGGGGAGCCAGTGGAGGGAGAGGCAGAGGGGGGTGGCAGAGGTGGAGCGGCTGGTGAGGTGGATGAGTCTGGCAGCTGAGTTCAGGATGGTCTGAAGCGGGGTGAGTTTGCACTGGGGTAGGCCGGTGAGGAGGGAGTTGCAGTAGTCAAGGCGTGAGATAATCAGGGAGTGAACGAGTAGTTTAGTGGTGTCTGGGGTAAGGAAGGAGCGTATCTTGGAGATGTTCCGGAGGTGGAGCCTGCATGAGTTTGTGAGAGATTTGATATGAGGTTGAAAGGAAAGGTTTGAGTCCAGAATGACGCCAAGGACCTTGGCTTGCGGGGCGGGATTGATGGTGGTGTTGTTGGTAGTGATGGAAAGGATGGGGGGGGGGGGCACGGGAAGGGGGAAAGACGAGAAGCTCGGTTTTGGAGAGGTTGAGTTTGAGGAAATGGAGCGACATCCAGTCAGAGATGTCGTTTAGGAGGTGAGTGATGCGGGCGGAGAATGTGGGGGTGAGGTGAGGGGCGGATAGGTAGATTTGAGTATCATCAGCATAGAGGTGGTAGTTGAAGCCGTGGGAGTGTATGAGTTTGCCAAGGGAGGAGGTGTAGATGGAGAAGAGAAGGGGTCCAAGGACAGAGCCCTGGGGGACCCCAACAGAGAGGGGGAGGGAAGAGGAGGTGGCGCCGTTGTAGCAAACGCTGAAGGAGCGTTGGGATAGGTAGGAGGAGAACCAGGAGAGAGCGGAGTCTCTGATGCCAAGGGAGAGTAGTTTATTAAGGAGGAGGGGGTGGTCGACTGTGTCAAAGGCCGCAGAGAGGTCTAGGAGAAGGAGGACAGAGTAGTCGCCTTTGGCTTTGGCGGTTAGTAGATCGTTGGTGATTTTGAGGAGGGCAGTTTCGGTGGAGTGTAGGGGACGGAAGCCGGACTGTAGTGGGTCAAGGAGGTTGTTGTCAGTTAGGTGGGCGCTTAGGCGATCGTAGACCAAGCGCTCAAGGAGCTTGGACGTGAGCTTGGACGTAATTAATTACTCTTTACAATTATTATTTTTTTTTATATATTTTGTTTACTATTTTTATTTATTTTTTACAATTTACATTTTTTTTTTTTCAAATGTTCAAAATTTTTATTTTTTTTTGCACATCGCTAATGGGAGGTCCTTGGGGAGCTATCACGGGGTCTAATCAGACCCCTGATGTCTCACTTTTGGGACAAAGAAAGGGACTGAGGACAGTCCCCCAATCACTTTCTCTGCAGCCTCAGAGAAACAAATGAAGTGGTCTGAGGTTTCCTGTTCATTCACAAAATGAAGCATAGGAAACAGTTTACTAGGCTTCAGTTGTGAATGAACACAGTGAGCGATTGGTACCAGACACTCGCTGTGTTCATTCAGAAAAGAAAGGGCCCGGTAAGTACGATATATTTATCACCCCCCATTTCCTACTCTCCATCTGAAGATCCCCCGTGTACTGCAGCAGATGGAGTATCATGTACCTGGTGATGGAGGCCAATGGAGAGAGGGCTTCCCTTGCGGCTATGTTCCGGACTCCCCTGAGAGTGGGACAGCGGGAGTCAGGCCCAAAGTTGCACAGGTTGCCTGCTGGTGCACGGAGATAGGTCTGCAGACAGGAGGCGCCTGTGCGTGGCATGCAAGCCCTTCCGGGATTTAGATGTTTACTGGGTAGTCAGTTCAAGCCAAGGTCAGGTACCAGGTGGGAATCAGAGCAGACGTAGTCAGATGGGATAGCCGAGGTCATACACAGAGGAGCGAGAGAGAGAGAATCCGTAAGGCAGGCTGAGGTCAGATCAGGGGTAAAGCAGAGCAGACAGGTCCAGGAGCAAGCCGAGTCGGTAACAGGAAATCACGGGTCAGGAACCAGGAACAGGGCACGGGGAGCTAGAGATCATCCAGCAACTTGAGGAAGTGATGAGCCTCCTTATAAAGGCTGTCTGGCACCAAACTGAGGCTGAT